TCAGGTGGCCCTTTTGGTCAAGGGTGACTGAAAAAGTTGTTCACAGTACTTGCCATAACCCTGTGCCTCTCTAAGGCCTTGGGAACTGTCAGTATGAAACCATCTCTAGACCTCTTTCTAGACCTGGCAGGGCAGGCGTACTTGAAAGCTATGAAAAGATATTTGATACTTAACTGGTGTTTGTAAAACTAACAGAAGCCTTCCTGGTAATTTTATACCCATCGCATTTACAGACACCCTTGGCTGGTATTTTTTCCCCAAAATTTTGTAATAAAAGATAAAATGATCTTTCAGATACACTTGGACTACCATTTTATGTCCTCAGCCAACACTGGAAAAAAAAAAACTAAAAATTGTATTATTTTGTATAACATTGACGATATTGACCAAATAGGTTACAAGTTTGGAGTTTTGTAAATTTCCATTAATCTTCTCAGACATATTAATGAGACAAATACATACTTATGTCTCAGAGGATTAAATTTCTTTGAAAGAAAACATGTACATGTGGAGATTTACATAACGTAACAAAACTATTAATTCAGGGAGACGTTGTCCTGGTCAATTTAGAAGCACAAAATGGGAAGTCTAGCTGCGTTAACATGTCTGTTCAAAGATCTAGAGCACTCCTTACCCTAATTTCTTGTATGTAAGTTAGGATATTGGAATATTTCTTTTTTGAAACTAGCATTAAATAAAATTAATGCAGTTATATTTAATGACACATGGGGCACTGTTGTTTTACAAACTTAACTCAGTTTTCTCAATACAGATCATATGCAGAAATACAAACAGAACACACTTACCCCTTTATCAGTATCATCTCCAGAAAACCCGTCCATTCGTGGCTTCTTGGGGGAATAAATTATTCAGTAAATTTACCAAGGTCTAACGTGTGACTGAGCTGGGAAACTTCTACCCGGTTCTGCCAGATCCCAGCAAAAGGTTCCTGCAAACCACTGCGGGGGAGGACGTGCAGATGAAGCACTCACACCGCTACAGGCAGCCCTTGGCGGGCCTGCAGCCGGGCCAGCGCGGGAGGAACGCGGGCCGCCTGCATCAGTCAGCCCGGACGACACAGACCAGAGAGGTCAGAGACCGGGGCCGCCCGTACTGACCAAACTCTCCTCCTCGCCTTCATTTCCTGTCTTGCAATGAAACATATCCTCCATGAAAGACACATTAGGATTCGTGGGGTGTTCATTTCAAAGCCCCACTCTCAGAATTGAATTCTAATTCCTCAGTGGAGGCCACACAGAAGTCTTCCTGGACTGAGTGTGCACCTGAGAACTTCCCGTCTCCTCTATTCACCTACACACGGTCAGCCATCAGCTCACATCTGAAGCTGTCACGGTGTTAGTAATTTTTTTAATCCTATTAAAAGTAGAAAATATTATATGTCTTATAAAAGAGATAATATAAAATATGTCAAATTACATCAAGATGTCAATTACAGATATATTTATTCACATTCTTAAGTTGAAAAAGTTTAAATGCTTATAACTGCGGTTGTAGTTTGTATCTGTACACAAGTTGGCCGGATTTAAAAATCAAAATAGTTGGACAGCAGTCAGATCTGAAATTTTTATTGGAAATTCAAACTGAACTGGCATACTGTTGTTACTCCATCAACCAGACCTGTATAAAAAACATTTATCAAAAAATGATACAGATGTAGTTTCCAGATGACCTTAAGTAACAAAAACACGCAATATGACCTTGAGTAATAACAAGTGGGGGGAAAATGCGAAAATCTCCCATAAGCCGTAACAATCACCAAAACACACGCTGTCAAGTCATCTGCCTCAGACGCTCCACGGGCCGATTTTAAGTTGAAACAAACGCCGAGGAACTGCTGCCTTTCCGCAGTGCTCTAAGGCTGATGCCGGGTTTGACAGGGCCCGCATGTAACAAAGCTCTTAGTGGAAGCTGAAATTGTCTTCAATTATACCCCATGTCTAAAGGTGGGGCAGCCTGGCTTTTTAAGCTCTTAAAACGTCTCTGATTTTTGTCAGGGTTACCAAATTAATAGGACTCCGTGAACTTTCGTCCTTACTGTAAAGTTAAAACTTAGAGGAATGTACTATGTACATTCTGACTTTTTTTCCTTTTAAGATTCCCCACATTAGGGTTGGAGATGAGCTCACAGGTTGATGCGTAAGAAGGAACTTGAAGAGGACGACAAGGACTGAAGCTGGAGTTTGCTGCAGCTCCAAGGGCTGAGGATACCTGGGTCTCTGATTTCAGAAATGGAGTGGGACTTTTTCATTTATTTATGATTTATTTACTTATTTAACACATATTAATTGAACATCTACTCTTCTGTATTCTAGGTCCTGAGGAAATAGCAGTGAGAATCCAGATGACTGTGTCCACCGAGGAGAGAGGCCATACATATGCTGCTTTAATTAGAATAAAAGTTGTTTTAAAATTTTAAAATTCCCATGTTTCTTTTTCATATATATGAATTATTATATTATATTTATATATAACATGTTTTATGTGGAGATATATATATATATATAAATTTATCCTACTCTGTCCATTAGTTGAACATTCTTACTGTATCTTTTTAGTTTTATTCTGATTAGAGGATAAGCAGATAAGAAATATATTCCTCTGTACACTTTTTATTTAAAACTCTGAATCTTTGCCTATAGCCTTGGATCAAATATATCCAACATCTGTTTCTTTTCCCATCCATGCCATCCTGCCACTGAGACACAGTGTCAAAGGGAAAAATGCTACCTTTTTTCACATACGAATAGATTTATACTCTTGGAATTCAAAATTCCTAGAGATCAGAGAGTTTTTCAATCAAAATAAATAGAATTTATTTTGCACTTAACCTAAGACTCTTCTGACATTGTGCATGGACAAGTGCTGAGCCTAATTTTATTAATTCTATTATTTCCTGCTCTCCTGAAATTCTCTTATCTTGGAAACATTAAACAACATTAATACCACATTGTAAATTACTTACAAACACTTTAACATGATGATAACCTCAGATTATGAGCTTGTAACATTTGGAAATAATTGTTGCCAAGAGGCAGTTTGTTCCTGGAAGCTCTATTATCTCTGACTGAGGTCAGTATTATGCAGCGGCAAAGTTCTCTATTTTGTGGAATCTTTCACGTGTTTTTTTCATGGAGGCGCTGGGGATGGAACCCAGGACCTTGTGTGTGCTGAGCACATGCTCTACCCCTGAGCTACTTACTCCTCCTTCCTGAATCTTTCAATCACTATGATTAATTAAAGGAAGTGAAGACACAAACTCTAACACTGGAACCTGTTTTTCATATGTTTACTTTTGAAGAAATGAATGGGTTCTATTTCCAGGGATAAGCAAACGGGTGAACATACAGATTGGTTTGACCCCCAGTGATGTTATAACTATGATGCAGACTCAGAAGAAAGCAAACAGGATGGCTCTTTTCTTCCAAGGGCTCATGAGCCAGTAGTGGGGATGGATATACGTTTACATCCAAATAATATGGAATTGCAAGGACACTGACTCAGAATATTACGGTAGCAAAGAGAAAGAATTCCAAAGGTGGTTGCCAACGACTGTCACTGGCTTTCTGATCCAAGCTCTGTCTAAGTATTTTAGATGTGGTCACTTTAATTCGTGTAACCACCCAGTGAGACGGGGGCTATTATTACCCTCATTTTCTGTTGGGGAAATTGAGTCGTAGGATTTCACTGTTGTTGTCATTTGTTTGTTTGTTTTGAAGCAATCTTTCCAAGCCCTCCCAGTTAGTGAGTGGCGTAGCCTGACGTGGGAGGGTTTCAAGGAAAGTGGGCTGAAGACGCTCTTCGAGTCTTTTTTAAAAAAGGTTTTGTTTGTTTTATTTCATTTTTTGTTTGTAATTAGGTAATTAGGTTCATTTATTTACTTACTTTTAAAATGGAGGCCCTGGGGATTGAACCCAGGACCCTGTGCATGCTAAGCACAGGCTCTACCACTGAGTATACCCTCCCCTTGTTCTAGGAGTCTTAAAAGATCAGTTAGAATGAGGGACATGGAAGCAAGGGAAGTGTTATGGAGATACATTTCAGGCAGAGAAAACACCACAGGGGTGATAGATAAATGCCATGCGCAGGGAAAAGTTGCCATCTTGGTTTTGCAACGGCAACAATCAGAAGATGGGGTTGGGAGAAAGATGAGCGGAGAGCTCCTCAACCCAGGGCCTCCCGAGCAGGAGTGGACTCTGATCGCCACGTCAGGGTGGGGCCTCCAGGAATCAAAGAGAAGCTTTAAAAAGAGGTAACATGGACCATTTTCCTTGTTATAAAGATCATTTTGATAATGGGTGAAGCATTTGAGTGGGACAGAACTGGAGGCAGAGTAACAAGTAAGAAGGGCATTTCAGCTGGTGAATTCAGCTACCTGGAGTGGGGTTAGGAGAGGAGGTGACTTGACAAGTACCCAGGAGGCCCACTTGGCAAGACCTGTTCCCTGACTGGATGTGGGATGCAGGGAACAAAGGACTCATCAGAAAAATTCTCAGGAACAATGATGTCGTATATTTAGAAGGAACAGGTAAAACTGGGAGAGTTTAGATGCCCTGATGTTGAGATATCTGTGCATTATTTAGACCTAAAAGTCCAGAAGTTTGTTGAACGTTCAAGTCAGATGGAAGAGAAGAGTGTAACTGTGTAGAAGGTGGGGACCGATCACTCCCAGGTACCGCACACGGTGGCTTGAGCTGTGGGTGGTGAGTGGAGCCCTCAGGACAAGCAAAGTTCAAGGAGACTGTAGAGGAAGGAATGTCCATGGAAAATCCCAAGAGAGGATTATAAAAGCATCCCCTGGATAAGAAGGATAGATAAAACCATGTCAGACGAAGCAGAGACATCTGACATTAAACTATTAGTACATAATTAAACGAACGCGTTTTGTTTCCCCAAATAAAATTATTTATTTAATGAAAATAAGTAATTAAACTGAATTAAAATAATTTACTTAGATTATTCAATTAATCATTAAATCCTCATACAAGGAGCTCACCGGATTCTGTAATATTCAAAATCATGATTTTCGATGGTAGTTGAACCACTTCAGAATCATCTTTATGAAATTATGGGGACACCAGAGGCCTCCGGAGACAGTGTTTGTCCTTCATAAATATTTCGGGAATCCCTCCACCACTTGTGTCCCAACTACCTGAAGGCAATAGTTTTAAAGGGAGAAACAATGACTTGTTGACTAATGTTGAATCAGCTCTCATGTGTACATATTAATTCTGTACTCAGAATTGTTGGAGGTAGAATTACAAGTCCTCCGGTCCAAGGTCAGCCTTTTATAGCAAAAGCAGCAACAGGCTTGTCTAAGTGTACTGAGTGCCTCCTTTGTACCCAGCCCAGTTCTAATTGCTCTGCAGGCAGAAACCCGATCTCCCAATGAGCATGTGACAAGCGAGACAAGAGCCTGTTGGTGGTGACCACGTCAGTAAGCCACAGCTCACACCGGGAGCGCCGCCCACGCCGCCCACCTAACCACCCACACTCCCAGCGGGGGAGGGCAGGGAGGGACACCTGCTGGTCTGACTGGTTGGTTACCAGGGTGGAGCACAGCCCAGGGCCCTTCCCCAAAGACCCTGCCCCACTGTCCACCCCTCCTGGCTCACTGTCGACAAAACCAGAGAATTAACCACATTTTCAGACACTGGAAAGAACAGAAATGAACAGAACATGTTGATATTATTCATCGTGCATTGTCCTGGCAAATGCTTATTCTGGGTTCACTTTTTAGACCATGCACAGAACCCTAGTCTGGAAGCATTTCCTCAGTCCCAGCCGGGATGAAGCCCAGCATGAATGTAGGGACCATGGCAGCTCTGGGCACGATGGATTTCAGTTCCATGTGTTAGAGCCGGCAGAGAGCTAGATGTGAGCAGAGAAAGGGGGAGCACGGGCCAAATGGCAGGAAACCACACATCTTGTGAACAACGGGGGTCCTTGAGCAGACAGAGGAAAGCAGGAATCTCCAAACTGATAAGAAATCACACTTTTTTGGGGGGTAACAAGTGTCCTCCAGGCCAACAAAGAAAGGTGGGAAAAGGCAGGCATCTCCAGTGTCCGAATGTAATCTTTTGCTCATTATGTCCTCATTTCAATAAAACCAGCCGTGCAGGTCAGAAGTCCCCATCATGCACCGACGCCAGGACACTTCCGATCCAGACTAAATAAGAACAAAAAGCCATCCTCCCCACGGGAAGGTGGGGCTGGGATGGAAATCAGGGAATAGGACCCCAAGCCCCTCCCTCCCCTGTGAATATCCCGCCCATTCATTCTACACCCTGTGCAATCAACGTGCCAAAGAAACTCAGGGCAGCCGCCCACCTGAGCCTGCCCGCTCCCCTCTTCAGAGTGTGCTGTCCATCGCTCAGTAAATCCTCACTTTATCTTCTTGACCTCTGTGTCTGTCTCTGAATCCTTTCTGCAATGAAACAAGAACCTACTTTTCCATAACACAGTGTAGATCTTTCCTGATCCTAAAATAGAAAGTGACTTAAAGAATTTGAAAATAGCATCTGCTCTGTCTGTTACTAGTGATGGATGCTGTGTAATCAATGACTCTCACCAGAAAAGAGCCTCCCCTGACTACATCATCAGAAGCTCTCAACCTACAGTGCTGAGGGATTTGAGTTCACTGTAAAGTATTAACTGTTCTTGAGTATAGACTACGAGAGTTTTCCCCCAAATTAGCAAAACAGATCACCCTTTTGAATTCTGAAGGACATAAAAATAAATTTTAGAGCTATTATGAGGCCAACATCCCTACAACTTGAAACATATGCTGGATGTGACACCTTCACTTGCTGAATTATTTCACACACTGTCCCCAGTCATCAGGTGTCAACGCATTAAACCGTGGAGTGTGTTTGGAGTGTGTTCACCGCTTTCGATTACAAGGAGAGACGGGGAAGAAGCTCAGACAACAGGCTGAAGATACTGACTGCAAACTTCTATTCAGGGCTTGAAAGTAAGTGCCTCTGGTCTGCAGGAGAGTTCAGTCTTTGATACCCAGATTTGAGCTGAATTATGACACACAGATTTGCCTTTTGCATGACAGTCTGATATGAAGGAACTGCATCTTAACTGAAAGTATTCACTTCAAGTCTCTTTCAAGCTCCACCTACCAGTAATATGTTACATTTTTTACCAAGAGCAGAGCCACCGCGGGCTGGGCTGAAGTAGGTCCCACAGTCGAGTGCGATGGTCTCTTTCTTTTTCTTTAGTCCCCTCCTTTTCCTGTCCTAAGTGGCTCTACCTCATGGCTTCCCTTTGCTTCATGGTTCAGTTCTAGGAATCCATCGTCAGATCTCCGATACCCGGCACACGTGTCCTCATTACAACTCAGCAGTGATGCTCATTACGTAGGGAGGAGTTTTCCCTACCCTAGAAATTAAGAGACGGCAAGGGCTCCTTTAAGGTTTCTGACTAACAGTACAGAATTACAGGACACACTGACAATCTGTTGTGTCGCCACAGACGACTATGTCGTTTGCAGGACACCACGCGGCTGCAGTCAAGGCAGCCATTGTTAAGCAGCCCTTACCACTTGCCAGTTATGGGACAGCACTCGCCGGACGAGGGTACACACCTTGCAAAACATCATTCGTGAGCTTAAACTTTCCGTATCTCCTTTTAAGCTCACTGCCTGCTGCTTGGAAGTTATAGATCTTTAAATGTAGATCTGGTTTATAGGTCCCTGAATCTTTGCCCAACAGAATGACTTCTCCTTTGGGTTCATACATTCCTTTTGCAGTGAGGGACCTACGGGGTTTTATGAGCCGATCATGCTGCCTACGGTCTTAAGTCAATCATCAGGACAGCCTCTCTTCAGGGCTTCCTACTGATGTAGAGGGACCTTGAGCAAAAGGAAAACATGTAAGACTAAGGCTAGTAAAAAAAAAAAAGAAAGAAGAAGAAGACAGCACGTTCAGAGATGCCCAGTAGCTCAGCACACCAGCAAGAGTCATCTTACGAGGGCATCTGGGACTCAGGGCAGATACTGGTACGCAGGC